TGGTGCCTGTCTACCATTACTCAATATTTTAATCAAAGATTCTACAGAAGAATCCCGATCAAAAGGAGGCAAAATGTAGAACAGAATTCCAAATTCTCATGGCATCCAGTTTTTCCGAGATCCTAAAACTGTTGCCCTGAGATAATCTTTAAACCTCATACTTTAAAACAATAATATCCCCTGAAGTCTTCTTTAAACCAAACAGTAAGTTAGCTGATTTAGTAAAGAATGTTTGCCTTGCGCATCGTGCTCTTTTGAAGAACTATCTATACGGGATCGAACCGACAACAGCAACTCAAAAAGGTCTGATAGAAAGCTTAGTAGGCAGTGAGTTCATGTTAATAGGGGAGGAACAATATGGAAAAAGAGGAAGAGAAATGTTGAACAACTTGAAGAAGGTGATCGATATCACTGAAGTATACATGTAGAAATTGTTGAACTGGTATGTTGCTGTGTATATTTTCAACGATTAAAAAAAATGTTGGATTCTAGCTGAGAGTGACATAATTAAAAAAGATGTCAAATCTGCACTACTTTACATTTCCATTCTAAAATGATGAGCATATGGATGAAACAGATTTATGGCAAGGTAAGGCATATTAAATTAAAAAAAAAAAAAAAGCAAAATCTAATATAAGAGATGGAAGGAGGGAATACTTTTGAGTTTCATGGATTAAGAAAAACCTCGCAAAAATTGATCTGACACTCCAGTAAAGGAGCCACACTCCCAACAAAGGGAAGGACATAAAATAGTATAAAACAACTGTAATATACTAAACTAAGTAATTTAACTAACTAACCAACCAGTTACCATTGAGTGGATTCTGACTCATGGTGATCCCATGTGTGTCAGAGTAGAACTGTGCTCCACAGGGATTTTCAACGGCTGATTTTTCAGAATTAGATCTTCAGGTCTTGTTTCCAAGGCACTGCTGGGCAGACTCGAACCTCCAACCTTTCAGTTATCAGCCAAGCTAACTGAAAGAGTTTTCCTTTCAAGAATACAAGGGGAGTTCTAAAGACAGTTAAGTATGTAAGGTTTGGTTAGAATAATGTTCACAGAGACAACGACATAAAATAGGTAGGAAAAAGTAAACTGGGACAAGACTGAAACGGTGAGAGTGAATGAAATGGCAGACTGTAAAGTGATTGGGACTTAATGAGAATTCTAAGGGTTTGGGCTTTAATCTAAAAGGCAATAGGGAGCTGCTAAAGGTTTGAGAGCAGGAGAGGGGAGATTTATTTGGCAACATGGTATAGGATGCAGCAAAGGAGCAAAACACTCTATTTTTGAAATCTGTGAAACAGACAAAAGATTACATTACATATAACATCAAATTAAAGATTTAAATACAATACTGTTAAAAATCAAAACTCAAAACCCACATAGTCTATGATTTCATTTACATAAAATGCAAACCCATCTATACTGATAAAAAGCAAATCAGTGGTTACCCTGGTCTAGGGAAGGAATGGACTACAAAGGGGCATAAGGGATCTTGTGAGTGAGAGAAATGTTCTGTATCTTGTTTGTGGTGGGCATAAATAACTGTAAAAAATTATCAAGTATTCCTCCATAAAGCTGGTAAGGAAAAAAAATCAATTAAAAGTCACACAAACCAGATATTTGATGATATGTAAAAAGTTATATAAATGACAGCAGTTTTCAGAGGCGTAATACCAAACTTCTAGTTTCCCTCTGTATCTGTTGTTAGGTATTGCCTAGCCGGTTTCAACTCACAGCAACCCCATGTGACAGAAGAGAACTGCCCTATAGGGTTTTCTAGGCTGTAATCTTTACAGGAGCAGATCGACAGGTCTTTCTCCTGCAGAGCTGCTGGGTGGGTTCGAACAGCCAACCTTTTGGTTAGCAGCTGTTGCACCACCAGGGTTCCTTCTCACTATCTATAAACCAAAAAAAAAACAAAAAACAAACCCATTGCCATCGAGATGATTCTGACTCATAGCAACCCTGCAGAACAGAGTACAACTGCCCCATAGGGCTTCCAAGGAGCGGTGGGTGGGTTTAAACTGCTGACCTTTTGGTTAGCAGCCTGAGGTCTTAACCATTGAGCCACCAGGGCTCCACTCAGTATCTACAGTCACTGTCAATTCTTTTCTTCAGATATTGTGTACAGATAAAACCTCATTTCATAATTCTCCCTCATCCCATTCCCATGCTATCCACTCCCTCCCAGCCCCTCCCAACAACAATCTCTGGGAGGTAGAAGGATGATTTTACCACTCAAACTTCCTACTAACCGAGTGTCCTGGATACATGGAATTCTGAACCACCAATCATTCCATATTAGGGAAACAGAAGGGAAGAGTAGCCTCCTGATTCTATCTTCATGTTTCTGTTCCCTCTGCCTATAATTTTGTTACAGTATTTACCACACTATTCTGCAATAATTGACATTTTTCTTTGTTTCTCTTTTAGACTGGTAAACTCTTTGTGGGCAGAGAGTGTACCCTATACATCTCTGTAGTCTCAGAGACTATCACATAGCACTTTCTCAAGTGTTCAGTGAATGTTCTTCCTTCCCCTTCATCTTGAATTATCGAAATCCTAACCATCCACAAAGATGATGCTAGCAGTAAGGTCTTTTAAGATCTAGCTTAAATGTCAGTTCCTTCTTGAAGATGTTCCTAATTCCCTGACTGGAATTCCTCGTAACTTCCCTACCACGGCTGTTGTTGTTGTGGTTAGGTGCTGTTGAGTCGATTCCCACACAGAGCAACCCTACGTACTACAAAACGAAATACTGTCCAGTCCTGCACCTCCTCACAATCGTTGCTGTATTTGAGCCCAATGTTGCAGTCACTGTGTTAATGCATCTTGTTGAGAGTCTACCACTGATAGAACCTGTCATATCCTTTTTTAAATTAGTGAGGCAGTATAGCCTAATAGTAAGTGTTCAGGCTTTGGAGTCAAACCTGAGATCAAATCCAGGTTCTGCCATTCACCTTTGATCTTAGGTAAATTACTAAATCTCTCTAACAACATCACAGCTAATACTTACCATGTGCAAGGCACTGTTCTAAGAACTTTACATGAATTAACTCATTTAATCTTCAGAGAAACCCTATGATGTGGGCAAAGAGAAGTTAAATTATGTGCCCAAAGTCACACAGCTAGTAAGTAACAGAGCTACCTTCAATCTTAGAAGTCTAGCTTCAGAGTCCATACTCAACCTCTAGACTGTATTGCTTCTCACTAAGCCTTATTTTCTCCATCTGTGTAATGGGGATAACATTACCAATCTCACAGGTATATAAAGTATTTCGCACATAGCAAGAGCCCCAAAAAGATATTGCTTTGCCTTAGTCATTTTCTACGTATGCTCCATGAAGGCACCAGGTCTATCTTATTTATCTGCGTATTCCAGTCATTGTACTTAGTATAATAAATTTTAAAAAAACAAAACCAGTTGCCATCGAGTCAACTCCGGCTTAGGGTGACTCCATGAGTGTCAGAGTAGAATTGTGCTCCGTCAGGTTTTCAATGGCTGATTTTTCTAAAGTATAACACCAGGCCTTTCTTTGGAGGCTCCTCTGGGTGGACTGGAACTGTCGACCTTGCGGTTGGCAGCCAAGCACTTAACTGTCTGCAACACCCAGGGACTCCAGTTTAATAAATGTTCCTGTTGCTGTGCGCAGTCGAGTCAATTCTGACTCATAGCAACCCTATATGACAGAGTAGAAGTGCTCCATAGGGTTTCCTAGGCTGTAATCTTTATGGGAGCAGATCGTCAGGTCTTTTCTCCGCTGTAGCCACTGGTGTGTTCGAACCATTAACCTCTCTGTTAGCAGCCTTTGTGCTTATCTACTGTGCAATCAGGGCTCCTTCAGTATAATAAATAGTAAGCCCAAAATAAGTATGTCTTTCAAGAAACATCTGTGGCACCTAGAAATCCAAGTACAGTTGAAAAAGACAACACTATACAAACGATAATTTGAAAATGTTATCAAGACAAACAAATGTTCTGTGCAGTTTGAAAAGAATGATCAATTCTAACTGAAGGAATTGGGAATTATATATGAGAGGAGGTGGCACTGAGCTAGCTTGAAGGGAGTAAGGAGAGGTTGTATACCTATTTCCCTAAATGGCAATTATAGATAGTACAAAATACAAATTCAAGAAAAAATCTTGGACTAATCAGGATAATCCTTTGCAGAAAAAAACTACAGAGATCCAAGGCAAGCAAAACTGGGCTCTACAGACACACCTTAGGTGCAGAAGACAAAAAGGGGCAACCTTCTCTAACGACTAAATACAGCAGTATTCCCAATACCATTTTGACATACGATCTAAACGACCAAGATGGTGTAAAGCTGAAGAATAAAATTAGGACACCTAAATTTCAAGATCTCTATGGGACTAATATTAGGTTGTCTACCCAAATATTCTGAGGGCTGCCACCTTAATATTAAGTGGTCTCAAGGGCAAGTATAGTTAAGTGTTCCAACTCAGAATTCAGAGGTGGTCCAGGGAAATGTCGGGGCAGTCCGCTGGGGTCCAGCTGGACGAGGCGAGCTTCGATGGGCTTAAAGCAGCAAAACTGCTTTTGTGGGGCCTACGACCGCCTCCCAGAGCGCCCGAGAAGCTGGAGTAGCAGTGAACTGGTAAACCTAGTCTCTCCGGAATCCGTGGTAAATCACTCGGATTAGAGGATCCATGACTTTGCCGCCTTGCAATGCCCCAAACTATAAGCAATCCCAACTCTCACTTACAAAGCATCCTACGGTATCCATTTGCTCCCCTTCCTCTTTGGGAAGAAGGGAACGTGAAGACATCGCCTCGCACTTCACCCCTAGCAGGCCGGGAATCAGATGGGAGCTAAAAATAGGGAGCGGACCAACTCCAAAGAGAGGGAGTGATCCGACAGACAGACCCGCTCTGGCGCTCACACCAGTGATCAGAGGTCGGCCGGGACCCGCAGTGGCGGCCATCGAAGGGACAAGGGGAACCCGGGGAAACAGAAGGTGGCCAACCTCACCTGCCGCTTGTTCATCCGCCGTACATCGTCCAGAAAGTCTAGAGACAGCATGATGAGGACGCAGAGCAGGACACGATCCGGAGAGAGGGCGCGATGTGTTCAGGCGGAGAAACAGCGGGTGCACTAGCTGAACTCACACTGGACAAGCCCCCGCAGCGCCCGCACTTCCGCTTCCGGAGCTGGCTGGAATAGTCGCGGCCCCGCCCCTTCGCTGATGCGAGCGGACAAAGGGACTCACGACCGTCCTAGTTTATTCTCCGGGCCTGGCCTCGTCTTAGAGCTCCTGCCCGCTCTGGCCCTCGCCTGCCGAGAACCAGCCGGAGCCCACCTCCTGCTCCCAGCCCGGCGACCCCTCACGGCGGCGTTGACCCAGGGTTAGATGGAGCGGTTGCTCTGCAATCTCCTGAAGGCGGGCCCTCGTGGACGCCTGGCCAATCGGGAGCCGTCTCTCCAGTTTGGGCGGGCAGAGACGGCTTGTGAGTGGTCGGCGTGTCCCTGCGTCCGGGCCGCGGGTCCGGGTGTGGTGGTAGACGAGTAGCCAGGAAATGTGTTCTTTGGTCCGGGCGCGTCTCCCCGGCTCTGACGAGACGGTCTAATAAGTGCTTTTTGCATAAAGGTGGGGGATATGTGAGACATCTAGAACACTGTCTGAATCTGCCTGCAGTTTACAGTCCCGTTGGAGAGACAACTCGCTACAGTTGGAAAACCACCAATCTAGTGTGATAACACCAGTGGTGCAGATCGTCCGGAAGTCCCTTCCTCCCTGGGTTTGACTCCAGTAACAGGATTGACTTTGTCTCCTTAAACTATGCTGCTGGTTTTCTTACTTCGGGCACCTTGCCTTGACCCTCTTCTCGCTGCCTTCTGTCTCCTGTATATAAACAGCGTTTGCTTAGACTGTTTGAGGCTCCTGATGTCCACTTCCACCAACAGGGACCAGAGCTGGATCTCTTGCTATGTCTTTTCTTTTTCAAAATACTGGTTATCTCACATTAGGGGAAGCTGAGTGAAGGGCATACTGGAACTCACTACTATCATTGCAATTCTTCACTAAATCTAAAATTATTTCAAAATAAAAAGTTTAAAAATATATTGGAGGATGGCTATAATCAAAAAGACAGACAATACAAGTTTTGGTGAGGATGTGGAGAAATTGGAACCTTCGTACACTGCTGGTAAAGCGGTGCAGCCACTTTGGTAAATAGTCTGGTAGTTCCTCAAAAGGTTAAATATAAAGCTACCATATGAATCATCAACTCCTCTCCTAGGCATATACCCAAGAGAAATGAAAATGTCCACACAAAAGCTTGCACATGAATGTTCATAGCAGCACTATTTGTAATTGCCAAAAAGTGCAAACAACCCAAATGTCCATCAATTGATGAATAGATAAATAAAAAATGGTATGTGCATACCATGGGATATTTGGCAATAAAAAAAAATTGCCAAACATGCTACAACATGGATGACCCTTGTTGTGAAAGAAGCCAGTTACAAAAGACAATTTATTGTATGATTCTATTTATGTAAAATGTCCAAAACAGGTAGAACCATACAGACAAAAAGTAGCAGTTGCTTGGGGCTCAAAGAATTAGGAGAAATGGGGAATTGACTGCTAATGGGACAGGAGTTTATTTTGGGGATGAAGAAAATGTTATAAAATTGATCATAGTGATAGTTGCACAATCCTGTGAATGTGTTAGAAGTACACTTTAAATGGATGAAATGTGTGGTATGTAAATTATATCTCAATAAAGCTCAAGAACCCACTGGTGTGTTGTTCATGGTTACATTCCCAGTGCCAAGCAGAGCCTAGCACATATTAAGGTATCCAATAAATATTTGTTGAATTTGTTGATATATATGTGCATGTGTGTTTGTGTGTGTGTATTCCAACTGCCCTGGGCACCCCATATTTAGTGAGTTAAAGAAGGAATTCCTGATTTCTTCAAATTAGGAAGGCCGATGGAGAAAAATACACATAAGCTCCATGAGGGCAGGGATCTTGTTTGTACATCCCTCTATCCCCAGCTCTCATAACAGTGCCTGACACATAACAGACACTCAATACATATTTGTTAATAAATGTTGGATATAGATTCTAATCTGAATTCTAGAACCACTTGACTAATGCTTGCTAACGTTGAGTTTGAATCTGAAGGTGAACATCAGCAACAACCATTTAAATGGCTATGAGCCTCTATCCATCTCTTGTATGGTGAAGAAAAGAGCCCTAAGAGAGGCAAAAAGTCCTGTGGGATTTTGTTGCTGTTGTTATTAGGTGCCCTCAAGTTGGTTCCAACTCATAAGGATCCTATGTACAACAGAATGAAACCCTGCCCAGTCCTGTGCCATCCTTACAATTATTATGTTTGAACCCATTATTGCAGCCACTGTGGTCAATCCATCTCATTGAGGGTCTTCCTCTTTTGTGCTGACCCTCTATTTTACCAAGCATGATGTCCTTCTCCAGGGACTGGTCCCTCCTGATAACATGTCCAAAGTACGTGAAACGAAGTCTCACCATCCTCACTTCCAAGGAGCACTCTGATTGTATTTCTTCCAAGACAGACTTGTTCTTTTTTCTGGCAGTCCTCGATATTCTTCACCAACATCATAATTCAAATACATCAATTATTTTTTGTTCTTCCTTATTCATTGTCCAGCTTTTGTATGCATATGAGGTGATTGAAAATACCATGTCTTGGGTAAGGCGCACCTTAGTCCTCACAGTGACATCTTTGCTTTTTAACACTTTAAAGAGGTCTTTTGCAGCCAATTTGCCCAGTACAATGCGTCTTTTGATTTCCCGACTACTGCTTCCATGGGCATTGATTGTGGATCCAAGTAAAACGAAATCCTTGATAACATCAATCTTTTCTCTGTTTATCATGATGTTGCTTATTGGTCTAGTTGTGAGGATTTTTGTTTTCTTTATGTTGAGGTATACTCCATACTGAAGGCTGTAGTCTTTGCTCTTCATCAGTAAGTGCTTCAGGTCCTCTTCACTTTCAGCAAGCAAGGTTGTGTCATCTGCATATCAAGGTTGTTAATGAGTCTTCCTCCAATCCTGGTGCCACGTTCTTCTTCATACAGTCCAGCTTCTCGGATTATTTGCTCAGCGTACAGATTGAATATGATGAAAGGATACAATCCTGACACACACCTTTCCTGACTTTAAACCACACAGTATCCCCTTGTTCTATTTGAATAACTGCCTCTTGTTCTATGTACAGGTTTCTCATGAGCACAAGTGAGTGTTCTGAAATTCCCATTCTTTGCAATGTTATCCATAATTTGTTATGATCCACACAGTTAAATGCCTTTGCATAGTCAATAAAACACAGGTAAATATCTTTCTGGTATTCTGTGCTTTCAGCCAGGATCCATCTGACATCAGCAATGATATCCCTTATTCCATGTCCTCTTCTGAATCCAGCTTGAATTTCTGGCAGTTCCCTGTCAATGCACTACTGCAACCACTTTTGAATGATCTTCAGCAAAATTTTACTTGCATGTAATATTAATGATACTGTTCAATAATTTCTTCATTCTGTTGGATCACCTTTCTTTGGAATGGGCACAAATATAGATCTCTTCCAGTCAGCTGGCCAGGTAGCTGACTTACAAATATCTTGGCATAGATGAGTGAGCGCTTTCAGTGCTGCATCTGTTTGTTGAAGCATCTCAGTTGGTATTCTGCCATTCCTGGAGCCTTGTTTTTCACCAATGCCTTCAGTGAGCTGGGACTTCTTGCTTCTGTACCATTGGTTCTTGATCATACGCTGCCTCCTGAAATGGCTGAATGTCAACCAATTCTTTTTGGTATAGTGACTCTGTGTATTCCTTCCATTTTCTTTTGATGCTTCCTGCATCATTTAATATTTTCCCCCACAGAATCCTTCACTATTGCAACTTGAGGCTTGAAGTTTTTCTTCAGCTTTTTCAGCTTCAGAAATGTCGAGCATGTTCTTCTCTTTTGGTTTTCTAACTCTAAGTCTTTGCACATTTCATTATAATACTTTACTTTGTCTTCTGGAGCCACCCTTTGAAATCCTCCAGTAAGCTTTTACTTCGTTATTTCTTCCATTTGCTCTAGCTACCCTACATTCAAGAGCAAGTTTCAGAGTCTCTTCTGACATTCACTTTGGTCTTTTCTTTCTTTCCTGTGTTTTTAATGACTTCTTGCTTTCTTCATATGTGATGTCCTTGATGTCATTCCACAACTCATCTGGTCTTTGGTCATTAGTGTTCAAAGTGTCAAATTTATTTCATGCTGTGATGGTTAAGATTGTGTGTCAACTTGGCTGGGCCATGATTCTCCGTGTTTTAATGTAATCACTCCTATGACTGAATATACTGTGAGTAGCCAATAGATGAAAGGGCGTCTCCTTGGGGGTGTGGCCCGCATCTGTATATAAGCAGACGTTCTGGCTTTTTGCTCTCTCTGGATCCTGCGGCTGCTTCCTGTCATCTCATCTCCTGTTCTTGGGACTTGAGCTGTCAGCTTATCTGCCGAACCTGGGATTCATCGATCTGCACAGCCTGTGAGTGGGAGCCCTGATCTCCGACCTTCCAATCTTGGGCTTGCCAGCTTCTGCAGCTGTGTGACTTGGGAGAGGCCTCTACCCTGATCCATGGACTTGGGACGTTCTAGCCTCTACAATCACGTGAGCTGTTTCCTTGATATCTCTCTCTCTATATATATTTATACACTTTATTGGTTTTGCTTCTCTAGAGAACCCAGCCTAAGACACATGCGTTGGTCTCTAAATTCAGTTGGGATATACTCGAGGTTGTGCTTTGGCTCTCATGGACTTGCTCTAATTTTCTTCAGTTTCAACTTAAACTTGCATATGAGCAATTGATGGTCTGTTCCACAGTCGGCCCTGGGCCTTGTTCAGACTAATGATATTGAACTTTTCCATCGTTTTTTTCCATAGATGTAGTCTATTTGATTCCTGTGTATTCCATCCAGCGAGGTCCATGTGTATAGTTGCTGTTAAAGTTGTTGAAAAAAGATATTTGCAATGAAGAAGTCGTTGGTCTTCAAATTCTATCATGCGATTTCCGTTATTGTTTCTGTCACCAAAGGCCATTATTTTCCAACTACTATTTCTTCTTCTTTGTTTCCAACTTTCACATTCCAATCAC